CGGGCACCCAGGCGGTGTGAACTTTCGGTCTAATCGTAAACAAATTCAAACGAATTGGTAAAGTTTTCAAGGTCGAAGAGCCACTTTTCTTTGTCTGATAAGGCCGCGCCATAGATTTTGAATAAAGTCAATAACCCTATTGGGCAGAGACAATCGTTTCAGACTTTTTAAAGACATCCACAATCTAGGGATTACTTGCCCTTTTATTTTTTGTACTTAACATTTGTCCAACAATCGTGTAAACCCCAAAAAAAACAACAGACATGGGTCCTGTATCCAATTTGATTATGCGCCCCAAGCCCCACACCCAGACCCCCAGCCCAAGCCCTCTACCGACATGGCGTACATAATCTCTATTAAACGATTTAAGCACATAAATTAGGCAAGTTACGAGCCGGGGACTTAAACGCATTTATGCTTTACGCATAACAAAATTCTCTGGGAAATGGGGGGAAATTGGGTTTCGGTCATGTGCGGTTAGGGTTTCGGTTACGGATTTGGATTTGGTTGGATTCGGCCTCCCGGTATCCGCCACCTTCGGTGTTCGGTTGTTCGGTTTTCGATTCAACTTGGGGCAGGCACGTGGTCGTGCATGAATTGCGACCACAGGACAGGCTACACAGTCGTAAACTAGAAGTCAGGATGCAGCCAGAGGTCCTGGCTTACGTGTGGCAACTTTTGAGCCATAACTTCCATTGCCGAGATCTCCATCTCTTAGTTAACCGCACATTCTACACCATAAAGCTCATGTCCATTGTGGCGCCGCTGTGCATTGACTTTCTGCGCGCACTGTTCGTGCGGTATGTCAATCAAAACTGGTGTTGGGACATGGAGAAGACCTTTCCACAGGTAAGCCCCTCCGGAGACGGCCGTGTCCTGTCGCCGTGACTAATGCTGGGCTTTGTTTGCGTTTATGTACCGCAGTACGGAGACTTCAAGATAGCCGAGAACATCCTGACGTTGATTAATAACCAGGGCCAGGTGTGGATGGGCATCTTCTTTTCGCCGGGCCTGGTGCTCATCAACCTGGTCAAATTGATGATCATGATGTACTTCCGCTCCTGGATAGTGCTCACCTGCAACGTGCCCCACGAAGTGGTGTTCAAGTAAGCGACTCTGGCCCCAGCTGGGCGAATCTGGGTTAATCGTCGTATCCTTGCAGGGCATCCAAGTCGAACAACTTCTACCTGTCGCTGCTGTTGACCATGCTGTTCCTGTGTGTCCTGCCCGTGGGCTATGCCATCGTGTGGCTGCGTCCCTCCTGGCACTGCGGACCCTTTTCGGAGTACAATCGCATAGCGGAGTTCATCACCAACACCACCCGGAATGCCCTGCCCAAGTGAGTTATCCACGTTAGTGTTTTGTGTGCCTTTACTAGGATTACCTGTAACCCCATTCAGACAACTCCATGAGCCTCTGGATTATCTGACCTCCTCGAGCACTGTGATACCTCTGCTCCTGCTGCTCATCCTCATCATCTACTACTTGGTTTCGCTCACGGGTGCCCTGCGCGAGGCCAACCAGGACTTGAGGACCCAGCTGCAGAAGGAGCGCGAGGAAGAACGCAAGAAGATCTTCAAGGTGCCGGAGGTGAAGCAGGCAGAGCCAACGGCCACGACGCTAACGAATCGCTGGCGCAAGGTCCTCGAGGCCAGCTCCCCGGTCACGCCCACCCAGCCCCCCGACTTTGACACGGAGGAGTACAAGAATCAGGCCCGCAAAGGTAAGCCAAGTCTAACATAAAAGATTCTCTGTTCACAAGTCATTTGTGATTTTCCGCCCCATTCAGAGCTAATCTCACGCATCATGAAAAAGGCGCTGCGCAAGGGATCCGCCACCTCCGACGAGGACTCCTTTGTGCGGCGCGACGACGACGACACGGACACTGAGCACCAGGACTCACTGCCCCACGACGAGGAGGCCAAGGACCGGCGCTTCGGCCTGTCACGACTGCAGCAGATCCGACGCACCCGGAAGCCATCCCTGGTGGACATTGTGCAGATTGCCAAACAGGAGCGAGCCCGAGCCGGATCCATTGCGGCCGGCAGCAGCGGCAATTCCGGATTGCAGCAGCAGGCAAGCGGAGGCAATTTTCCCATAAAGGAGCCCCATCCCAAGAGTCGCTTCAAGGTGGAGAAACACGAGCGCAAGGATAGGGGCAGCGTGAAAGAGAAAAAGGACACCAGACACAAGCAGCCGCAACAGCAGCCGCCACCCTACGAATCGCCCAAGGACAATGAACATGATCCGGATACAAATTCAAGGATTGTCAGCGAACGCCGCGCCAGCTTGCTGCGACGCAACAAGGAGCAGCGCCCGGACGAGGACGAGAATGCTGAGCCTCCGACACCCGATCCACCCCAGACGCCGAGTGTGGAAGCCGAGACGGCGGAGCAAACACCTCCGGAAGAGTCCACACCCGAAACGCCCACGCTGGCCAAGAGCAAATTCCACATAGTTGACGAAAAAAAGCCGCCGCAGGATAACGACGATAAGCCCTTGCCAACACCCAAGGAGAGTGCTGGGTCAGGAAGTGGCGGTGGCGGTGGTAGTGGTCTGGAGTCCATCGGACTGGGAAAGTTCAAGTTCCGTAAGCATAGAAACAAGTCAAATAATGTGGCCACTAAGCCGGAGCCCGAAGTCTTTAAATTCGATGAGAGGAGTGTTGAAAAAAGTAGCGATGTGGCCGCCACCCCAGCTTCGGAGCACCTGAACAGCGAACTATCCGGCGTAGAGGAACCAGAGCGCAGCCTACCCTCACCCACTCCGAGCCAGGGTCAAGGACAGGGTCACCATCAACGACAGTTGTCCGTGCTCTCTCGTCAGGGACGCAAAAAAATTGGTAATCTGTTGGCCCTTGTCCGCGAGGCCGTTAACCTCAAAAAGGACGATGTAGAGCAGCAGGCGGGCTCGGATGAATCCCCCGGTCCGACTACTCCCACCTACCTGGCCTATACACCGCCCCCACCACCGTCAGTATTGTCCAGCGTGTCCAGCTCCACGGCTCTGGAAATGCCGCCCACACCAGAACCAGAATCGCCGACACCCAGTGCCCCCCTGCACTTCGGATGCAGTACCTCCTCCCGGCCGCCAGTTAAGCCACCCAAGCCACCGCCACCAGTGGTTGCGGCTAGCGCCACGGCACCCACCGCCACCATAGACGACCTCGAGGAACTGGACCTACCGGGACCTATCACTTTTCCTAAACGTAGTGCCTCCCAGAGACGTCGGCCCATGCGACAGGACTCCCAGAGTTCGATTTGGTCGGATAACATACCCACCATCACAATAAGCACCACCGGTAGCGATGAGTGCATTGTGGACGCATCCACTCCGGAGAACGGATTGCCCGAATCGCGTAGTGGTTCACCCACAGGTCCTACGGTCAATATTATTAGGATTAACATTGAGGATAGAGAGGATGAGCAGGATAAGTAACGTGCCTTCCGCATAAGTGCCTTAAACGCCAGATTGTCTTCTTAATTAAACGAATTAGTATGTTCTTCCCACTCCAATCTACTCAGCTTCAAACTCGTTCTTCAGCATTTTGGTATTCTCTCTACTATCTAGCTACAAATTCCATTATCCATTAGTCTTATTTCCCTAAGAAACTATAATAAAGTCAGTATTGCACGAAAATACGTTTGTCTTTTTATTATAAGGTAGAGGGAAGTATATATAATATAACTAAGAAGTGCTTTAGTTGAACTTTGAGTTTTTAAATTGGCGCCGCTGCACCAGTGTTGTCTAACAGATGTTTCTGTTTTGAGCAAGCAGTGCAAGCAGTTTCAGATGGACAACGGAATTTTGAATATGTTATTTTGTTAACCAGATCAAAATCAAACATCGGTCAGAACCTAAAGCTTTTAACTTTAGAGAAAATTTATAAGGTATAGCTGACGGATTCTTCTTTGACTGAGCCTCCAAAGCACCCGTCAGAGTACAATATGTAAGGGCCGAGCCAAGTTGTATACGTTTTACCACGAAATTGTACAAATTTTTATTTCGTTTTAGATATTTTTTAAAATTATATTGGTGTCAGGTTTTGATGGGGAATACCAGTTTTTAGATCGGAAAGGTTTAACATTCCTGGATGGGACAAGTATTAGCCTAATGATGTACCTTTTTCCATCACGAAAATAAAAAAATATGAACTTAGGGAAGTAAAGGGTAGAGCTTTAAAATATTCCTTTGCAGTGGAATAAATACTTAAGTCTTCCTAAAAACGACTTTATTTTCCGTTCGTTAGATATAGTATCGAAGAACTTATTTTAGATTCGTATTATGTCACCAATATATCGACTGAAATGTAAGAGGAATGTGAAAAAAAAAAACGAAAACGCCTGCAATCCAAAGGTTAAAGCCTGGTGTCATTCTGGGATTGAGTTTCCCGTGGCTCAGCGCGATCAGAGTTGGGTTTCTTCAATGAAACCGAAAGTGCGGCGACGATTGCCGTACAATAACCTCCTTATCAGCTGGGCCAGCGATAACCTGCTAACTCCAAAAACTACAAACTAGCCGGAAAGTAGAGCAGAGAGCGCCCGACGCAGCTTCCGATGTATAAATACATACATTCATGTTCGTAATGGATCTTTTAAAAACAAGATCTGTTTAAATATTTGCCCACTGAGATGAGCAATTAATGGAACTTAATAAAACGATCATACAAATTGGCCAAACGAATGGGACTCCCACAGGAGAGAGAGCTATATTTTGTCCAACTTTATTTAAGACTTCCAACCAGATCTTGCTCAAATCCAACAATTACTATTGGAGTTTCACTCAGATACTTTTCTCTGGGAGAGGACGTATTATAACTACACTTTAAATAAACTCTAAAAAAATATTGTAAACGTTCAGGGACATTAATAGTTCTAGTCTGGACACATAAAAATCTGAATACTCTTCAAAATATTTTTCATTCTTTTTTTTTTGAGTGTAGAGAACCGAATAGAGTTGAGCGGATCGTGTGGGATCGGAGCAGATCGGCTCGAATGGGCTGCTCCGCATTCCCCGAGAGTCACTTGAGCATTGGACGTCCTCGTTAGCGGTTGCCTGTGTCTTCTGAGCGACGGAGTAAGTGGTGGCCAGTGGATAGTGGCCAGTGGCTGGTAGCCAATAGTTCGGTGGCGTTTCCGCCTGGTGGGATCCACTCGAGTGTCTGTTGCGGAGGAGTCTCAAGTTTTCTCGGGTCACCTTTTTTTGTTTTGTTTCTTCGTTCTCCGCCGTCTCGCGCTGCAAAGTAAAGAAAACTTCCAGATAAAAAGTATCTTGTTTGTTAACTCAAAACTGAAAAGGTTCTTGCCTTCGAAGTGGATCTAAAGTTACTGGCTTGAACTGAAGGCAATACATAATCCAAAATCCACGAGTCAGCGTTAAATGCAACAAGCCCGAAAAGTGTGCACACGAGTGGAAATCTGAAACAAAGTGCAGTTCCCAGTTCATATCATAATTCGAAAATATTTTGGAAATCACCGAAAAACCGAAAATAAGTTAACTAGAAATGCAGCATGTGTTCGGCACCGAAAAACGAAAATGTATCTACCATATAAATAGCCGATAAATAAACGAAAATAACGCAGTTGCTGCGCCCTGTGCATCTGTGAGATACAAGATACAAAACGGAGTTCGTAAAAGTATCTGAGTGTGGTTTGAGTGATTTTTGAGTGATTTCCGATTCCATTCGATTTCCCTCTACCTGCTGATGTGTGTGTCTGTGTTGAAGCAGGGGATAAAAACAAACGCGGCAATAAAGATACAACCTAAAAGGTGCAAACAAAAACGCATTTAAGACCCCTTCAGACTACCCTATATAGAGTATATTTTTATATATTTATATAGAGTGCGTGATATCAGCTAGTTCGTAGCCCCAAATTCTTATCGCAAAAGGAACTCGTGTTCGTGTTCATAGGCGCGTATCGCGCAGCGACTCAAGACCCAGTCGATGGGGAATATGAACATCTCAAATCTGAATGGAGCGGATGTTCACTGGGGCTAACTACATATGTCTGCCAGTATGTACATATTTATACATAAGTATGGTATGTATGCTGCATGGGGTATCAGTGTGTGTTGGCCTCAGCTGAACTCGCCGCAAAGGGTTCAGACATCCATCTCGGATCGGGAACCCGACTTTCTTCTTCTCCCAGCCTGACAACAGGCCCGAAGTGGATTTCGATCCGAAAAGAAGCCACAGCTGATAAGCTACAACAAAAACACACAATAACGAAAGGAAATAAATAAGTTTTATTGATAAAAATATTTCTAATTATAATCTGAGTGTGCTTAAACATTATTACGAAACTGTGATGCTGTTTGAGATTTGTTTTAAACCCCACAGGCAAGCTGATATAGCAATTGAAATAGATCGTGTGTTTCTTCTTGAATTTTTGAATCTGTAATACAATATTTAAGGTTTAAAGTCTAAAGTTTTCGATGAAGATGCTGCAAATATGTTAAAGAACTGGATATTTCTTGTATGCAGCTGGGGAGGGTCATATGTTTGTCACTTTTATTTCAGAGGATTTTTCAGAGAAAACTGGGTAATGTGATATCATCTTCCAGCATTCTTAGCTTTGCAAATATTTGTGCATTAATTGAGGCCTCTACTCTAACTGACTCAAGAATCTTGGATTTGCAAAGCCTTAATTAATCTAACCTTGTCAGAAGACGTTATTGCATCAAAAACTACTTGGTTCTTTCTTAGTAACTCATTACTTTTATTATTAAAAGTGAGGCGCGTTTTATTCGTGCGCCTGCAATCCGTCCACAAATTCACGAATGGGCTGGGAAGTAGATGAAATCATCGCTTGGAATTATTTCAAGTTCCCGCATAGAGCAAACAGAGTCTAGTACACACATGGTGGGTCAGATACACACACCCGAGTACTCAACTTCTGGTGGAGCTCATTTCCAGTCGGTATGCTCGCCAGTTTATTTATGTCTCTGCTGTTTAAAATTTTCATTTGCAGTTTTGCCCATACAGTTTTCGTTTTGTTTACCCAAAAAATGAACTCATTGGTTGAACTGGCCGGCTGGCTGGCTGGCTGGCCAGTAAAGTTTATTTTTCGAGTGATTTGCTTGGCGAACTAATTAAAAATCGGCCGGGGAACATGGTCTGCCGTCCGCCTCTTCCTCTGCCGCAATATGTGCCACACATGTTCGGGCATCATTTTGGATGTCTATCTAATCTGAACCACTAACTTGTGCATTTTCCAGCATATGAAGTCGCTCCGGGCACCCACTACACCCAGCACAGATTTCGTTATGAATTGAACTGAGTGCGGACAGTGTTGAAGTTAACCCACCCGCCTAGTTAAGGAATACACACCGGTAGCAGCATCCCAGTGCCACCCACCACTGCCCACCAACACAGCCCAGGAAGAACCGAACCCGCCGAGTCCCTTCCGACACAAATCCCACCGCCATGAAGCGCAGCCGGTGGAGCCACAGTGGCTCCTCCACGGCGCGCCTGCTAATCGCCGGCCTGCTGGTAGCCAGCTGCTCCACTGTAGCTCTGGGAGCTCAAAGGCAGCCCATCAACTCTGCCGGAGGACACGAGTTGCGCGGCACCACCTTCATGCCGGCTCTGGAGTGCTACGATCCCTATGGGAGACCACAGGTAAGAGGGGCAGAGCAAAGGGTGGGATTTGTGGGTATTCGTGGGTATTTGTTTACTCACAAACCAATTGAAGTTAATTTAAATTAGTCGCCAGTCATTTGGGTCCATTCATTCGGTTTCGGGTGGGTCAATTCGTGTGGCAGATACAAACTAATTGAGCAATAAAGCGCAACAGTTGTGGTAATAGAAAAGATATCAGAAGCATGGGAAAAAATTCACAAGAAATTCTTTAGTGAATATTGGTATTTTAAATTGTAATCCCTTGTAGAAATGTCTGCCCGAGTTTATCAATGCTGCCTATCAACTGAGAATCGAATCAACCAATACCTGTGGCGAACAGGGTGATAACCATTTTTGCATCCAAACAATGAACCAAAATCACAAAAACTGCGAGTTCTGCAGGTGAGTTATTCATAGATCTTTTAGGAATAATAGGGATATTATAACAACCGACCTTTCACAGATATAACGACCACAATCCTTCATTCCTGACGGATCTGCACGACCCACAGAATCCAACCTGGTGGCAGTCAGAGACCATGCTTGAGGGTATCCAGCATCCCAACTTTGTCAATCTCACTCTGCATTTAAGTAAGTAATGCTATACACTAAAATATAAACATTACTAACTAATTTTCAAAACAAAAACAGAAAAATCCTACGATATTACGTACGTGCGTATCCTTTTCCGTTCGCCGCGTCCCGAGTCCTTTACGATTTACAAGCGGACCTCGGAGAATGGGCCGTGGATTCCGTATCAGTACTATAGTGCCTCCTGTCGGGACATCTACTCCCTGCCGGACTCAAGGGACATCCGTAAAGGCGAGGGCGAGGCCCACGCTCTGTGTACCAGCGAGTACAGTGACATCTCCCCGCTGAGGGACGGTGAGATTGCCTTCTCCACCCTGGAGGGTCGTCCCAGTGGCATAAACTTTGAGCGCAGCCTGGAGCTGCAGGACTGGGTCACCGCCACCGATATCCGCATCACCCTGGACCGGCTGAACACCTTCGGAGACGAACTGTTCGGAGATTCCCAGGTGCTAAAGTCGTACTTCTATGCCATCAGTGATATTGCCGTGGGAGCTCGTTGCAAGTGTAACGGACATGCCAGCAAGTGTGTGGCTAGTACGGGATTGCATGGAGAGAGGACCCTGGTGTGCGAGTGTCGCCACAACACCGATGGCCCTGACTGTGATCGGTGTCTGCCACTCTACAACGATGTCAAATGGAAGAGGGCCACCTCCACGGAGGTCAACGAGTGCAAAGGTAGGTTCTAACAGAGTCCTAGCTTATAAGTAGCTTCAGGTAACATAGTCAACCTACCCCTCCTTGGGAAAACTAGTTTTACTAGATTCAGGGCACTGTTTCCAGTCTGGGCCTTCTAAATAAGGACAGACTAGTTTGCCGTTAGAGCTAGACTTAGTAGAGAGTAAGTCCAGTTGGCCCATCAGTCATGTTTGTGCCTTTCTTGCCTGCGGTCTTGTTGCCAACTCTCTTGGCCTTTGTCCAGGGCTGGTCCAATGATGACAGCCTGGAAACTAATCGAATAGGGCCGCCAGGGCCAAACTGGTATCTAATAAATTGTACAGAAAAGGGTCTTCAAACAAAAATGAAGCTTTTTATGTTAAAAATTAAAAATACCTTCCAGCTTGTAACTGCAATGGACTGGCCGACAAGTGCTTCTTCGATGCCCATCTTTTTAACCTGACGGGTCATGGTGGTCACTGTCTGGACTGCCGGGAGAACCGCGACGGGCCCAACTGCGAGCGCTGCAAGGAGAACTTCTACATGCGGGAGGACGGCTACTGTGTCAACTGCGGCTGTGATCCTATCGGCTCCAGGTCGCTGCAGTGCAACAGCCAGGGCAAGTGCCAGTGCAAGCCGGGAGTCACCGGTGACAAGTGCGACCGCTGCGACAACAATTATTATCAGTTCGGACCCCATGGTTGCCAGCCATGCGGATGCGACAGCCGGGGATCCCACGAAAACATACCCGCCTGCGACGCCGTGAGCGGAATCTGTTTCTGCAAAGAAAATGTCGAGGGCAGACGCTGCAATGAGTGAGTTTTAGGATTATGAAATAATTTATAGAAACTTTTACAATTTTCTCCTCCTTTTCCAGATGCAAGCCTGGCTTCTTCAACCTGGACAAGATCAACCGCTTTGGCTGCACTCCCTGCTTCTGCTACGGCCACACCTCCGAGTGTCAGACTGCCCCCGGCTACTCCATTGTGTCAGTGACCTCCAACTTCAACAAGTTCAAGGAGCGCTGGACCGCCATTGATCTGAACCGCCGCGAGGTGGACATCAAGTACAATCAGTACAGCCGGAGCATTGGAACCACGGCCCAGGGCAACGAGCACGTATACTTCCAGGCCCCCGAACGGTTCCTTGGTGACCAACGTGCCTCCTACAATCGCGACCTCAAGTTCAAGCTGCAGCTGGTAGGCCAGGTGGGCCCCAGCACCAGTGCCAGCGATGTGATCCTCGAGGGTGCCGGCAGTCGCATCTCACTACCCATCTTTGCCCAGGGCAACGGAATTCCTGACCAGGGAGTGAAGGAGTACACTTTCCGGCTGCACGAGCACCACGACTACAAATGGCAGCCCAGCCAGTCGGCTCGCGGATTCCTCTCCATTCTGTCCAATCTGACAGCCATTAAGATTAGGGCCACATACTCAGTGCAGGGCGAGGCCATTCTGGACGATGTGGAGTTGCAGACGGCGCATCGTGGAGCAGCCGGCAACCCGGCGACCTGGATCGAGCAGTGCACCTGCCCAGAGGGCTACCTTGGCCAGTTCTGCGAGTCCTGTGCTCCTGGCTATCGTCACAGCCCAGCCCGCGGAGGGCCCTTCATGCCGTGCATCCCTTGCGATTGCCACGGTCATGCCGACTTCTGTGACTCAGAGACGGGACGCTGCATCTGCCAGCACAACACCCACGGAGATAATTGTGACCAGTGCGCAAAGGGCTTCTACGGCAATGCTCTGGGAGGCACTCCCTACGACTGCAAGCGCTGTCCTTGCCCCAATGAGGGAGCTTGTCTGCAAATCAATGGCGATACGGTGATCTGCACAGAGTGTCCGGTCGGTTACTTCGGCTCCCGTTGCGAGCAGTGTAGCGATGGCTTCTTTGGTGATCCGACCGGACTCCTGGGATCCGTGCAAACCTGTAAGAGCTGCGACTGCAACGGCAACGTGGATCCCAATGCCGTGGGCAACTGCAACCGAACCACCGGCGAGTGCTTGAAGTGTATCCACAACACGGCCGGAGAGCACTGCGATCAGTGTCTGCCAGGACACTTTGGCGATCCCTTGGCCCTGCCACATGGAAGCTGTGATCGGTGCAGCTGCTACGATGCTGGAACCGAGCAGGATGAGCAGAGCATCTCTCGCTGCGACCAAGTCACCGGCCAGTGCCATTGCAAGCCGAACGTGATTGGCAAGGATTGTGGTGAGTGCCAGCCGGGCTACTTCAACATCCAATCGGGCAACGGCTGCGAGAATTGTCTCTGCGATCCGGTGGGCAGCTACAACTCCACCTGCGACCGACACACTGGCCAGTGCCATTGCCGACCCGGAGTGGTGGGCCAGAAGTGCGATCAGTGCGCCAACTACTTCTACGGCTTCTCCAACGAGGGCTGCCTGCCCTGCGAGTGCGACCAGAGCGGCTCCAAGGGCTTCCAGTGCGACCAGTACGGTCAGTGTCCTTGCAACGACAATGTCGAAGGACGACGATGCGACCGCTGCAAGGAGAACAAATACGATCGCCATCGGGGCTGCATCGACTGTCCGGACTGCTACAACCTGGTTCAGGATGCCGCCGATCTGCACCGCGCCAAGCTGGCCAATCTCAGCCAGACTTTGGACGAGATTGCTCGCACTCCGGTGACCAATGACGAGGAGTTTGAGGCCAAACTGCGGGCTGTCCAAGAGAAGGTGGCCGTGCTGTCGCAAGATGCCCGGGATAATGCTGGTGAAGGTGGTCAGACCTATTCTGAGGTGATTGACGATCTGCACAAGCGCCTAGATGGAGTCAAGGAGCACCTGGCCAGTGCCACCAAGCACCAGGAAGAGGCTAACGCCGAGATTGAAAAGGCACGACACAATTACACCATTCTGGACCAGATCACGGAGAACGCCAAGAAGGAGCTGCAGGAAGCCCTGGATCTCCTCAGCGACGAGGGTGAAAAGGCCTTGGCTAAGGCCAAGGAGAAGTCTGTGGAATTCGGCCAGCAGTCGGAGCAGATATCAGAAATCTCCCGGGAGGCTCGTGCCTTGGCCATCAAACTGGAATCGGAGGCGCAATTCGACCTGAAGAATGCCAAGGACGCAAAGGATGCAGTGGAAAAGGCCCATCAGCTGGCCAAGAGCGCCATAGACCTGCAACAGGATATTGCCAAGGTGCTGCGCTCCGAGGTTAACCTGGAGATGAATCATGTTAACCAGTCGCTGCGCACCGTGGTCCAGATTTCCAAGGAGGCCCTGGATAAGGCCAACCAGGTGTACGACACGGCCTTGACCCTTCTTAACGACGTGAACCGACAGACCCAGCCGGACATCGACATTAATGAGCTGAAGAAGGATGCAGTGGCTGCCAACGAACGGGCAGATGAGCTGCTCAAGAGGATCACCGAGTTGTCCAACAGCAATGGCGAGATATTCGCCGATTTCCATGAAGAGCGCGAACTAGCAGAGACACTCCTTCAAAGGTGGGTTCATTTTGTACCGAGTTGTGGGGTGTAATTTATTTTCCATATTTTTTAGAGCCGATAAGCAGCAGCAGGAGGACATTGAGCTGCTGGAGAGGGCCAAGGCTGCTCATGACAAGGCCACCAAGGCGGTGGAGCAGGGAGACAACACTCTCAAGGAGGCAAATAACACCTACAACACTCTCTATGGCTTCCAGTCGGATGTGCAGCGCTCCTCGCAGAGTGCAGCCGAAGCCCTGCAGACCGTGCCCAATATCGAGAAGGAGATCCAGAATGCAGAGGATCTGATCCGGCAGGCAGAAGATGCCCTGGCTGGAGCTAACAAGAATGCCAACGAGGCCAAGCAAAATGCCCAGGAAGCTCAGAAGAAGTATGCCGAACAGGCATCCAAGGTAAGTCCCCTAAAATAATAAGAAGTCTTTAAATAAATAGAAAACTTTCTGATTCAAAGGATGCTGAGCTTATCCGTCGAAAGGCCAACGAGACCAAGGTTGCTGCCAGGAATCTGCGAGATGAGGCCGATCAACTCAACCATAGGGTGAAGGTCACCGAAATGGACATCTTCCAGCTGGAGGAGAGCTCGACCAAGGACGACAATCTGGTGGACGATGCCAAGCGCAAGGTGGGCCAAGCCAAGGCCGATACACAAGATGCCCAGAAGCAGATCGAAAAAGCCAACGCCGAATTGACGGCCATCAAGGACGAGCTGGAGAACCTGAAGGACATCAACACGGGCGATTTAGATAAATTGGGTGAGTTTTGAAAAACTTTTTCTTAGAAGAATAAAGGCTTACTGAAGTAAAATCTTTTTTAAATCCACAGAGAACCGCCTGGCCGGTGTTGAGGGTGAAATCAATCGCGTCAATCTGACAGGACGCATTGAAAACTACAGAAAGCAACGCACCATCCAAAAGAATCTGATCGACAAATATGCCGCCGAGCTGAAGGAGCTGTCCAAGGAGGTGGAGAGCATCAAGGTTATATCCTCGGTCCTGCCAGACGGTTGCTTTGGACGCAATCGCCTGGAGCCATAGAAGCCCCTCACCGAATCCCAATAACAACTACTTCAATTAAGAATAAGTTCGAGTACGAGAACGAGGAACAGATCGAGGACGAACAAATCAGAATTACGATGTAGACCGTAGCCGTTGAATGAAATTATGTAATTTTAGTGCCTTAGCCGAAATATTCTGTTTAGTGACAAGACAAGGTTCCCGCAAAAGAGATCAACTGAGCAACGTTAAGCTTTAATGCATCATCGTTCGCATACTGTATGCCATAAAAACTATATATTATTTAAATGATTCAAAGTGATGCCCCAACATCGCGGAACAACTGCCACAACTGTGCCTCACCAGTTTCTATCCAGCCATGGACTGTATTATATGTTAAAAAAATGGAAATAACGAAATACTAAAAGCAACTTTGAAAATCCAAAAATTTTAATTACATTTCCGTACTACATACATGCGTAATATATCTCTGCCGTAGCTCCACCTGAAATCTATTCTATACTTTTAATATTTTAACATATTTTTCATCTATGTTTAATGTGCCAATTGCAATTACCATAATTATCTTTGTGTATAAGTCGCTTAAAGAGTTCCCCTTCAAAATATAACTTTTCCAACGTTGTAATTTTGTAAGAGACCACCTTGATTTTATTTATTATTCATATTTCGTAGCAACAAAAAGAAATTGGCGCTCAATCGAAAGACCTGCAAAATATTTTACATTGAATGAATGGCTTAATATGATTGGAAATCTATTACCTGAACCAGAAACTTGTGGGAGAGATTGGTGAATCCTCCTACGCTCAGGATAAAGGTTTTTCGCGTGAAGAGCAGCATCATTCTGATCATAAACTTGAATTCTTTGGACTCATTGTACCAGGCGCAATTGTACCAGTCATAGAAAAGAAGTTCACTCTATAAGAAAAGGTTTTCTAAGGTTTCTGGAAATCAGGAAACAATCTGTAGCCTACCTGTGTTTCTACTTTTTGAGCACTGAGGTTGTACAAACTGATTTCTAGAGCAATGGTCACAAAGTAAACCATAATCATACCCATCCAAACCCAACCAACTTCCTGAAAGGTAAATATTATTCAAGCCAGCTATTTTAGGTGAAGATAGTCACTTAACCCACCAAAACTGTGCTGATTTTATAAAGCAGCATGCAGATCAAAATGCTACTAACTGAACACTGGACTAGGATGATATACTTGAAGAGGTTTTCAACTTGACTATGATGCCTAAAAAACACACATTTCTTACTTAATAAATTAAAGATATTCCTTTAAATTCTTACTTGGAAATCCGAGCAAAGAGCTTCACACAGCATCGCAGGTATTTCACTCTTTCTTTTCTTGGAACCAGGACATCAGACGTTGAGTTTTGCACTAGGAAACGCAATACCTTAATCAAACCAGACTCATATCGGGTGAGGACAACAAAGAGACTATTAAAACCAAATACAGCTAATGTAGAAGTCAAAGTTACTTAAATGTTAAAGTTTATTAGTTAAAGGATTTACCAAAAAAACACCAAAGGGGACCCGATTGCAACAAAAAGAAACGAATCACATAGGAAGGAAATTCATACTTTCCTATTTGTATAAAAGGAACAATTGCAGGATAGGCTGAAGAAAAATATTATTATAAATTTAAAAAGAAACAGATTTTTAAATATACTTACTTAAAGTCATTTCACACGTATCCCTGATTATATAACAGTCGAATATATATTGAAAGTAGGGTCGGCAGCAATAATACAGAACTGGCATGCAAACAATCTTGAAGAAAAACATCACCTGTCTATCGATGATAACCCAATTATTGAGCAGAATTAATCTTAAAGCTTTAAGAAGTTCCTGTTTTTTAGGCAAATCTAGAAATATTTAGATTAAAACCTCAAAGAATAAACAAAAACCTATAACTCTTACCCAACTCAAAGATTCCCAACGATTTGAGAACCTGACCCGATTCCGTTGAAAAAACCAAACTTGCACATTGTTCCACCATGTTCTGAAAATGAAACATTTTGACCATACCAACGCTGAGTTGAAAAGTTAAAAGCACTGCCTAAAATTAGTGAAAAGATTATATTTATAGACAAAACTTATGAACCAGCCAAACCTCAACATAGGCCTCAAAGGAGATGTGATAGTTGGCCATAATAAAGGCTATTAAACTGTAGATAATGTGCAAATTGACCAAGCCCACAACTATGCGAGTCCTAGTTTGCAATAAACCTTACAAATTAATTATAAAATTTAATAAAGCACCAATATCTTACAGTTTACAATACTTTGAGCTTCGTTTTCGTGGTGCAATATTGACGCCCAAGCAGTAGGCACTGTATTCCACCCACATGAGCCCCAATTTGGGCATTTTATCGATGCGCTCAAGCTCCAGATCCAAGAGGTCCTCCATCACAAAAGGATAATATTAAGACTGTTTAAGAACGACTCTAAGTGTTAGTTTTTATGGCATTCGCAATGGCTATCGAGTCTCAATTAGGGCCCACAAATTACACGCTTCGCCAGGAATAATTTGCTACAAGTTATGGTTATTGTGCAACTGGGTATAGAACACAAATAATTACCCAAATTGGAGGGGCGTGTCTTAAAATCATTAAATATTTAGAACTCATTGAAGGTGCATAAGTCCGAAAGCCAAAAAAGAAGCTCTAATCATGAAATAAAGTCGGGAACTGGAAGGGTCGAGTAGAAAAGCTATACAGAAAATACAGACATCGTCTTTAATAACCAATTAAATAAAATTCTATGTAAAGTGAAAGTGTTTTAGCATCTTTAAATTATTTTCCTCTATTAAAAAAAATGTTAAAAGCTGATTTAAATCCTCTTTTAAATGTACCAAACTTTTTTTTAAATCATCGAAAAACAAAGTGAAGTTCCCATATGTGTATTTAAATTCGTAATGGTTATTTATTTTATGTAAAATTATTCAATGTGACAATTTCTAAAGCCCGCGCTGTCTATAATAACTTTGTAAGTATACTGTTAGCAACTTAAGCTTTCCTCTCACTTCCCATATTATCTGCTTTGAAGTTCCAATCTTTTTATATTCACCTTTTACAAAATTAGAAACGAAATAACCTTAAAAAATTATTTTAAGCTTTAGATTAAGTTCTTAAATTCAAATATTTATAACCTATTAATTATGATTTAAAAATTAATCAGGCCAGATTGCTTTAAAAAAATACTAGATTAATAGGAATGTGACCAAAGTCAAGGCACTGCCATACATATTGTTGTTTCGTGAAGTTCCACTTTTGGCCGCTGATGGCGCTGTTTTTTGTTTCTCCAGCTGACTTTCCTACACTTTCATAGATAGAAACTTCTTGAGAACCAGAAAAATTAAAGAATACCGCAGCATCACGGATTATCTTAAAAAAGTTAAAATAAACATTTCAAAAAGGGAAAATCCTTCAGCCGTTAAAGTTTTCCTTGTGGAAAAGGCCGCTAAATAACCAAACTAATTTAAACAAGTCTCAAAAAATGGAAGATTTCCCTTTTCTAAAATAGTGGACGGGCAGTAAACATCCAAAGCTAGCCCGGCATGGAGGAAACCGCAGAAACTGGTTTGGCTGCGCCAAGTCCAGCCCAGAAATCGGGTAAGCAATAGCTTATTTATACTATTCAAATAATACAAATTCGTGTGATCCTTTAGATGGGGCTACCAACGAAACCATGGGGCATGGAAAGTTGCTAAAGCCCGTGAAGGCGGACAACCCCATTGTTTACCTGGACATTAGCATTGGCAAGGAAGACGGTGAGCAGAACTTCAGACCATTGCCATACCAACAGTTATATTCATAAATATATCCTATTGTCGCAGCTGGGCGCCTGATAATTGAACTGCGCAGGGATGTTGTCCCCAGGACAGCGGAAAATTTCCGCGCGCTTTGCACGGGCGAGTATGGTGTGGGAAAAATGGGCAAACCGCTGCACTACAAGGGCACAAAATTCCACAGAATCAAAAGGGTCTTCGCCGTCCAGAGCGGAGATGTTGTCAATAATAATGGAACCTCCGGGGAAAGTATCTACGGCCCAGTATTCGAAGACGAGAACTTTGAACTTAATGTAAGTCTTTAAAAAATTATATAGATCCACGATTTGATTCTAGAACATCTTGCAGCACAATGATGAAGGGGTAGTCAGCATGGCGAACTATGGAAAACCCAACTCCAACAACTCCCAATTCTTCATCACTGCCGTGGGATGCGAGAATCTTAATGGAATTAACGTGGTGGTTGGTCGAGTGTTACGCGGCCTTGGCATTGTTGCCGAAATGGAACAAAACTGCAACGACGAAGGTGACCCAACAGCAGAGATCGTAATTCGGGACTGCGGCGAACTAGCACCCGGTGAGGATTGGGGCATCGAGTGCTGTGACGAGACAAGCGACAAACTGCCACCATATCCGCAAGACTGGAGTCGCAAAAACGATAAATTTTCGGTGAGTTTCCCCCCATTTTGTGCATACAAGGCTGGGATATTCCTCGAATTCAATTTTATTACTTGCTATTGACCCAATTGATTACTCTCTACAGTCGGACGCGGCCGTGGAGCTGCTGACGGGCATTCGCCAATCGGGCAATCACTTCTATCAGCTCGGTCGCTATCATGAGGCCCGTGCCAAATACCGCAAGGCCAGTCGCTACTATCTATACCTAAGCAAACAGTTCGGCTGGCAGCAGCTGAACCACTTCAAGAAGCACTTGGGTGACGCGGATCTACGCAAGATTGACGCCTTCTCAGTGGTGAACAACATCAATGCAGCTGCGGTGGACCTGAAATTGGGAAACTATCTAAGTGCCAAATACGACTGTTCAGAGGCCATTCGACTGGATCCAAAATGCAGCAAAGCCTTCTATCGGCGTGGCCAAGCCCAAAGAGGTCTTAGGAACTACGAGGAGGCCATCAATGATCTGAAGAAAGCCCACAGCCTGCTGCCGGAGAACAAACAGATTGTGAACGAACTGAACAGCACCAAACAGCTCCTGGCAGAGTACAATCGTCAGCAGCGAAATGCGCTCAAAAATCTATTTGCCTAGCCTTTCAAAAACCACGTTTAATATTCTTTATATTAAGGGATCGTTTTGAATATAAGTCTAAATGACTTGTTTTTATGTAAATAATAATAAATAAATGTTCTGTTTTATAAAGAGTCCGTTTTATGTTATACGGCACGTAAACAATTTAACTTATTAACAATCGCTTAACAATCGAGGAAAGTCGCTTCTGGGTATTCTGATTACAAAATGGTACTTTATTTCCTGATCGGATACAAATTGGCAGAGCTGTGGCCATCGGAAGGAGCAAAAGTGGGGAAATTAAGAAAATCCACAATTTTATGGGGAGACGCCTAGGAAAAAATTCGAAAATTTTGAAAAGCATATTTAAGCTATGTTTTAAATAAGGAAAGTCGCTTCTGGGTATGCTGATTACAAAATGGTACTTTGTTTCCTGATCGGATACAAATTGGCAGAGCTGTGGCCATCGGAAGGAGCAAAAGTGGGAAAATTAAGAAAATCCACAATTTTATGGGGAGACCCCTAGAAAAAAAGTCAATAATTTTGAAAACCATATTTAAGCTATGTTTTGAATGAGGAAAGTCGCTTCTGGGTATGCTGATTACAAAATGGTACTTGGTTTCCTGATCGGATACAAATTGGCAGAGCTGTGGCTATCGGAAGGAGCAAAAGTGGGGAAATTAAGAAAATCCACAATTTTATGGGGAGACCCCTAGGGAAAAATTCGAAAATTTTGAAAACCATATTTAAGCAATAATTTGAATGAGGAAAGTCGCTTCTGGGTATGCTGATTACAAAATGGTACTTTGTTTCCTGATCGGATTCAAATTGGCAGAGCTGTGGCCATCGGAAGGAGCAAAAGTGGGGAAATTAAGAAAATCCACAATTTTATGGGGAGACCCCTAGGAAAAAATTCTAAAATTTTAAAAACCATATTTAAGCAATATTTTGAATGAGGAAAGTCGCTTCTGGGTATGCTGATTACAAAATGGTACATGGTTTCCTGATCGGATACAAATTGGCAGAGCTGTGGCCATCGGAAGGAGCGAAAGTGGGGAAATTAAGAAAATCCACAATTTTATGGGGAGACCCCTAGGAAAAAATTCTAAAATTTTGAAAACCATATTTAAGCTATGTTTTGAATGAGGAACGTTGCTTCTGGGTATGCTGATTACAAAATGGTACTTTGTTTCCTGATCGGATTCAAATTGGCAGAGCTGTGGCCATCGGAAGGAGCAAAAGTGGGGATATTCGGAAAATCCACAATTTTATGGGGAGACGCTTAGGAAAAAATTCGAAAATTTTGAAAACCATATTTAAGCTATGTTTTGAATGAGGAAAGTTGCTTCTGGGTATGGTGATTACAATATGGTACTTGGTTTCCTGATCGGATACAAATTGGCAGAGCTGTGACCATCGGAAGGAGCAAAAGTGGGGAAATTAAGAAAATCCACAATTTTATGGGGAGACCCCTAGGAAAAAATTCGAAAATTTTGAAAACCATATTTAAGCTATGTTTTGAATGAGGAAAGTCGCTTCTGGGTATGCTGATTACAAAATGGTACTTTGTTTCCTGATCGGATACAAATTGGCAGAGCTGTGGCCATCGGAAGGAGCAAAAGTGGGGAAATTAAGAAAATCCACAATTTTATGGGGAGACCCCTAGGAAAAAATTCGAAAATTTTGAAAACCATATTTAAGCAATATTTTGAATGAGGAAAGTCGCTTCTGGGTATGCTGATTACAAAATGGTACTTGGTTTCCTGATCGGATACAAATTGGCAGAGCTGTGGCTATCGGAAGGAGCAAAAGTGGGGAAATTAAGAAAATCCACAATTTTATGGGGAGACCCCTAGGAAAAATTCTAAAATTTTGAAAACCATATTTGAGCTATGTTTTGAATGAGGAACGTTGCTTCTGGGTATGCTGATTACAAAATGGTACTTTGTTTCCTGATCGGATTCAAATTGGCAGAGCTGTGGCCATCGGAAGGAGCAAAAGTGGGGATATTCGGAAAATCCACAGTTTTATGGGGAGACCCCTAGGAAAAAATTCGAAAATTTTGAAAACCATATTTAAGCTATGTTTTGAATGAGGAACGTTGCTTCTGGGTATGCTGATTACAAAATGGTACTTTGTTTCCTGATCGGATTCAAATTGGCAGAGCTGTGGCCATCGGAAGGAGCAAAAGTGGGGATATTCGGAAAATCCACAGTTTTATGGGGAGACCCCTAGGAAAAAATTCGAAAATTTTGAAAACCATATTTAAGCTATGTTTTGAATGAGGAACGTTGCTTCTGGGTATGCTGATTACAAAATGGTACTTTGTTTCCTGATCGGATTCAAATTGGCAGAGCTGTGGCCATCGGAAGGAGCAAAAGTGGGGATATTCGGAAAATCCACAATTTTATGGGGAGACCCCTAGGAAAAAATTCTAAAATTTTGAAAACCATATTTAAGCTATGTTTTGAATGAGGAAAGTCGCTTCTGGGTATGCTGATTACAAAATGGTACTTTGTTTCCTGATCGGATACAAATTGGCAGAGCTGTGGCCATCGGAAGGAGCAAAAAAGGGGAAATTGAGAAAATCCACAATTTTATGGGGAGACCCCTAGGAAAAAATTCGAAAATTTTGAAAACCATATTTAAGCTATGTTTTGAATGAGGAAAGTCGCTTCTGGGTATGCTGATTACAAAATGGTACTTTGTTTCCTGATCGGATACAAATTGGCAGAGCTGTGGCCATCGGAAGGAGCAAAAGTGGGGAAATTAAGAAAATCCACAATTTTATGGGGAGACCCCTAGGAAAAAATTCGAAAATTTTGAAAACCATATTTAAGCAATATTTTGAATGAGGAAAGTCGCTTCTGGGTATGCTGATTACAAAATGGTACTTGGTTTCCTGATCGGATACAAATTGGCAGAGCTGTGGCTATCGGAAGGAGCAAAAGTGGGGAAATTAAGAAAATCCACAATTTTATGGGAAGACCCCTAGGAAAAAATTCTAAAATTTTGAAAACCATATTTGAGCTATGTTTTGAATGAGGAACGTTGCTTCTGGGTATGCTGATTACAAAATGGTACTTTGTTTCCTGATCGGATTCAAATTGGCAGAGCTGTGGCCATCGGAAGGAGCAAAAGTGGGGATATTCGGAAAATCCACAGTTTTATGGGGAGACCCCTAGGAAAAAATTCGAAAATTTTGAAAACCATATTTAAGCTATGTTTTGAATGAGGAACGTTGCTTCTGGGTATGCTGATTACAAAATGGTACTTTGTTTCCTGATCGGATTCAAATTGGCAGAGCTGTGGCCATCGGAAGGAGCAAAAGTGGGGATATTCGGAAAATCCACAGTTTTATGGGGAGACCCCTAGGAAAAAATTCGAAAATTTTGAAAACCATATTTAAGCTATGTTTTGAATGAGGAACGTTGCTTCTGGGTATGCTGATTACAAAATGGTACTTTGTTTCCTGATCGGATTCAAATTGGCAGAGCTGTGGCCATCGGAAGGAGCAAACGTGGGGATATTCGGAAAATCCACAATTTTATGGGGAGACGCTTAGGAAAAAATTCGAAAATTTTGAAAACCATATTTAAGCTATGTTTTGAATGAGGAACGTTGCTTCTGGGTATGCTGATTACAAAATGGTACTTTGTTTCCTGATCGGATTCAAATTGGCAGAGCTGTGGCCATCGGAAGGAGCAAAAGTGGGGATATTCGGAAAATCCACAATTTTATGGGGAGACCCCTAGGAAAAAATTCTAAAATTTTGAAAACCATATTTAAGCTATGTTTTGAATGAGGAACGTTGCTTCTGGGTATGCTGATTACAAAATGGTACTTTGTTTCCTGATCGGATTCAAATTGGCAGAGCTGTGGCCATCGGAAGGAGCAAAAGTGGGGATATTCGGAAAATCCACAATTTTATGGGGAGACCCCTAGGAAAAAATTCGAAAATTTTGAAAACCATATTTAAGCTATGTTTTGAATGAGGAACGTTGCTTCTGGGTATGCTGATTACAAAATGGTACTTTGTTTCCTGATCGGATACAAATTGGCAGAGCTGTGGCCATCGGAAGGAGCAAAAGTGGGGAAATTAAGAAAATCCACAATTTTATGGGGAGACCCCTAGCAAAAAATTCGAAAATTTTGAAAACCATATTTAAGCAATATTTTGAATGAGGAAAGTCGCTTCTGGGTATGCTGATTACAAAATGGTACTTGGTTTCCTGATCGGATACAAATTGGCAGAGCTGTGGCAATCGGAAGGAGCAAAAGTGGGGAAATTAAGAAAATCCACAATTTTATGGGGAGACGCTTAGGAAAAAATTCGAAAATTTTGAAAACCATATTTAAGCTATGTTTTGAATGAGGAAAGTTGCTTCTGGGTATGGTGATTACAAAATGGTACTTGGTTTCCTGATCGGATACAAATTGGCAGAGCTGTGACCATCGGAAGGAGCAAAAGTGGGGAAATTAAGAAAATCCACAATTTTATGGGGAGACCCCTAGGAAAAAATTCTAAAATTTTGAAAACCATATTTAAGCTATGTTTTGAATGAGGAACGTTGCTTCTGGGTATGCTGATTACAAAATGGTACTTTGTTTCCTGATCGGATACAAATTGGCAGAGCTGTGGCCATCGGAAGGAGCAAAAGTGGGGAAATTAAGAAAATCCACAATTTTATGGGGAGACCCCTAGGAAAAAATTCGAAAATTTTGAAAACCATATTTGAGCTATGTTTTGAATGAGGAACGTTGCTTCTGGGTATGCTGATTACAAAATGGTACTTTGTTTCCTGATCGGATTCAAATTGGCAGAGCTGTGGCCATCGGAAGGAGCAAAAGTGGGGATATTCGGAAAATCCACAGTTTTATGGGGAGACCCCTAGGAAAAATTCGAAAATTTTGAAAACCATATTTAAGCTATGTTTTGAATGAGGAACGTTGCTTCTGGGTATGCTGATTACAAAATGGTACTTTGTTTCCTGATCGGATTCAAATTGGCAGAGCTGTGGCCATCGGAAGGAGCAAAAGTGGGGATATTCGGAAAATCCACAGTTTTATGGGGAGACCCCTA